GGGAAACCAGCGGCTCCGCCTGTGGCCTGCGAGGGCCCATCTCACCCCTACGACACCTGCCAGAGCCGCCCAGAAGCACCCGGTTACTTACAGGAACAGCGCGCGAGCGCGAGCGAGCGATTTCGGTCCCCGGGGAAATCGGGACCGAAAAATGTTGTTTTACCGGGATACAACAACGACGACGGACGTTTACGCAGGGTTTCCTACGCGTGAGGGAGAACAAACGCCAGAGGCCGGAAGGGTGTTGCGTTCCTGAGACAGCGAAGCGTCGAGCGCCTGACGCACCGACAGCTACGCCCCGCTATCGACACCCGGAGAAGGTTCCCAAAAGCCCGGCCTTGCTGTTGGGGGGTTACGCCTTTGTCCCCGGGAGCCAGCCCGGCCGCAGATGCGGGATTTCTTCCTCCGCGGGTCAGCCAGCAGGTCTCCCTCGAGTCCTTTCTGGTTTCGGAGCCGCGTTTCTCCAAGAAGTCTCAGGGACAGTTTAAGAGGCAAATTCGTCTCGCCCCCCCCTCCTTCCCCTCACGGGGCGCGAGCAGCCGTTACGGACGGAGGAACAGTTCCCTCTCCGGGGAGGTCACAGCCACGCTTCAGAGAGGCTTTAGGCACGCAGGGTAGCTGCGTTAATTCAATTCCCTAAAGCAGATAACCGGAGAAGCTCCCCCGGCGCTCGCCTGCCCACCTTCCTCACAGGCACGCCCGCCTTAGCGCAAGGCCCAGGGTGCAGGTCAGATTTTTGGAACTGCTCCTCCCTGGCACGCCCCGATCTCTGAAGCAAGGAACTGTCGCGGGGAGGGGGAGAAAGGTAACTCAAGCCGTGGTCCTTTGTGTAAACGCTGCTTTGAGGAAGCGTGCGAACAGCGTGCCCTCGAAGCTAGCTTCTCTTTGTGAAAGAAGAAGACGCAGACGAAGCAGCGCGGGCCCTCGGGTACTTACCGGGAGCTCAAGCTACGCAGGCACCGTTAACACACCGCCAAGCACACTCCCCTGCACCCGCCCCCCTTTCCTACAAGCTGTCTTTCAGATGAACGAGCCGTGCAGCGTCGTCAACAACAGTATGGGGAAAAAAGGACGCTTCGCCAGCTCATCGAGAAGTATTTGCTTCACTAGGGCAACGCCGGGTGGGATTTCCGCACGGATCCGAGCTGTTCGAGGACATCCTCTCTTATCTAGCTGACCTCGCGTTAGGTTTCCTCTCCTCCCGCCACCATTTCGTATTCCCCTTCTGCTTTATCAGTGGGTGCCCCCACACCCGGGACGTTACCCTCTTCAACCACTACATCAGCTCACCCAAGGACTTCCCCACCGCTGGACCAGAACGTAAGAAAAAAAAATAAAGAAATAAAGAGGGGGGGGGAGGAATAATAACGCCACCAGTTTATTTAGAGAAATCTTTTCTTTAATTGTCAGTCTGGAACGCTCTGATGGAAGCAGACTCAAACCGCAGAGGACAGAGTGGTGGAAGCCGCAGCCAGGACCAGAAGTTGTCACATAGCAAAGAGGATAAGGAATGCCACCATCAAACAGAAGAGACCCATGGCCTCAGAGAGGGCGAAGCCCAGGATGGCGTAGGAGAAAAGCTGCTGCTTGAGAGATGGATTCCTGCACGTCGGACGGGGGGAAACGACAAACCAGAGAGAGAGGGGGGGGAGGAAAGAGGATCCACGGTGAGAAAACACACCCAAACCAGAGTCCGTATCACAGAAAACCAGGATGATGTCACACCGGCAACGGATTTTGGAGCACAAACCAGTTTTACGGCAGGCAGCCACAGGCTGGAGGAAGAAAGCCGTGATTTTTCCCCCGGTTTTAGTGATGTAGACATGTTGAACCCTGAAGGCTAGGTTCACCCGCCCCGGCGGCACCAAGCGACAAGCTCCCGCTAACAACTACTGCTTCGTTTCTTCTGGGGGCGGGCAGAGCTCCACAGAGCAGCTGCACCGTTCAGAAGCACGTACAGGGTGGGTTCAAACAATCCAGGCGCCCTCTTATTTATTTTAACAGAACAACGGATTGTAACAGCCGTTTTATATTCCAAGGAGGACTGCGTCAGTTTAACGCGGTGTCTGCTTAGATGCACTACCCGCGCAGAGCTGGACCTATATTCCCGAGAAAACTCTACTCATCGTTCAGTTTAGTGCTGGGAGAAGGGAATAAATTCAAGCCAGCCTGGCACCGTACTTACCTGGCATAGCCAATGATCAAGCTGCCAAACACCGTCCCGATACCCGCTCCTGAACCAGCCACCCCGACCGTGGCAGCGCCGGCACCGATGAACTTCGCAGCAGTGTCAATATCCCTGGAAAGAGCACTGGTGTGGAACTCGCGGCGGGTCAGCGGCGGGCGGGAAGCGCCGGCTGGCTGTGGGATACAGAAGAGGCATGCTAATGACACGCTTTTAATCAGAAATTTATTTTTTTTTTAATAAAAGATTATCAACATTTATCCTCTAGTCAAGACAAGGCAAAACCAGCCAAGCTTGCTAAGCCATCACCGATTCGGGCTAGGAGCCACGTCTCCGTACTAGCCATCCTCTCGACATACAAACTTACTCCTCCATCTCAGGAGGAACCATCACGTACCACCGGCAGCGAGCACGGAAATACAGCACCCGGTTTACCACGCAAGAGTCTCACCTGAACCGTCTGAACCTCAGGCCTGCTGAAAACAGACACTGAAGCTGGTCTGGCCAGAGCCCTGGAACAGCAGCGGAACTGGAGCAAAACACAAGACAATCAACTCCCGTAGCTGGATGTGTCCGCACTAATCCTCAGGAAAGAGCAGGTATTTTATGAAGAACAGTCTCAGAACTTTTTAAAACATCTCAAGAATGAAACAGGACTAAAAAGCAAAGGCACGCGCAGATGTAGGACAATCCAAGTGGCTACAACAGGAGTAAGTCCATGCGCGACAGTGCCGCAGGCCACACGCCGCAACACAGCACGAGTCCCGTCCGCCCCACCGGTTCGGCCAGCGTTAAACTACAAACGTCTTCTTCCTAATTCATCCCTCGGAAGAAAGGGGTAACCGCGTCTCTCTGACCGTCACTTGGCTCATCTTTAGGGAAGCCCTTGGGCCTGCAAGTTCAACGTACGTCTGCTAAGATGGTCGGATTCACCCTCCGGTCACCAGAGGTCACCTTGTTTCCCTTCCTTGTTAAATCCACGGTAAAACAAACCCACGCGATCCCACGCTGTCCAGGACAGCGTTTGGAACCAAGCACCACAGAGAAAGGCTTCGCAATCATACATCCCCGCTGCTATGAGACTCCTCTGAGTAAAAGGTGACTTACCAGAGCTGGAGAGCTGAGGAGAGCCAAAGGAGCCTGCATTTTGCTTAACCTGATGCAAATAAAGGGGGGGGGGGGGAGGAGAAAAAGGAATTGGGAATCCCAACGCTATTGCCACCCG